GATAGTTGAAACTTTAAACACCTAAGGGAACAACTGAATGAATGGCCTGAATGGGAAGCATTAAATCAAAGCCAAAAAATAGAATTTTTGAGCTTTGGAGTTAATGGAGACCACATGTAATCCTCTTGAGAATATTTTTTGAGAAGATATTTTTGAGTTATATGTATGTTCATGTGACTTCTCATGCACAACCGTTAAACAAAGAAAGGATACTCTAGATAATGACATACATGTGGTCTGAAATGGAAAAACATTAGGCTCAAGCTAAAAAGTCCTATCACTAAGATTTATCACCAAAACTTCAGATATCTGAACAAGGGTTTTCAGAAACTACATAAAAAATGTAGTAGTCATGACTTACTCTTTTGCTTCTAAAGTTCTCAAGAGAAGAAGCCAAAGATTTCTTTGCCTTTTGAAGGAGGTTGGAACCAGCTTTGTCTTTTTGCTGTCAATGATAAGGAATATGTTAAAGCAATATAAAAATGGAAATAGAAAATGAGATGGAAGGATAGATGGATGCAAAGTTGGTTGTCTTAGAATGCATGCTCTAGCAATTATTATTATATATTTATATTATATATAATTATTACTTGATTGGAATTGAATAGAAAATGGGATGGATGAAAAGAAGGATGTAGAGAACTTTGGTTGTTCTGGGAAGCATGCTCTAGCAATAAACTGATTAGAATTGAATAGAAAATAGGATGGATGAATAGATGGATGGATAGATAGATGGATGTAGAGTTGCTCTAGCAATTACCTGATTAGAATTGGAATGGGTGTGCACATGCTGTCTCTGTTCATAGATATTTCTGAAAATGGCCATGATCACTTCCACTTCTTCTTGCATATTGGAAAATGGACTTGCAGCCTGTAAGGATAGACCATAAGAAAAACTATAGGTAATCAATCATACAAAGGAACCTTAAAGTTCATTACAAGGTGACAGGGCCATGAGGACAGTTTTACATATTTAAGCTCAATATTATGTAAACACGTTCTTGTGGAGCCAAATAGCAAAATATCAAATGCGACCAAAATTTATTAAATGCATATTTGAGATATAAAGCCAAGTACTTTGGGAGAGGTGATACTAACTCTAATAATTTGACAAAAATTTTGTTACAAGTTTCGAGCAGCAGTCACACAAATGAAACGCTTAAAAATTTGGAGTATTAAACTCAGTTAAATAAAAAAATTGTGAAAGTAGAGGGCTTGTCGTTTTTCTGCCCTGGCTCACAAGGTAAGGGGTTGAGGAGAATATATTTGGGATTTATTTTAGTACTTAAATAAAGAAAGAATGATCTTTGTTTTCAAAAAGTAACCTTTCATAGCCAGTGGCTAAAAATAATGTGACTCTTATTGCATGACTGTGTCGGAATTTTGAAGTTGATATTCGTATATTGAAAACTGGAGGACAAGAAAAAAATCCTTGATGTACAGGAGAGGATCAACTAGCAAATCTACTCATTGTATCCTTTTTAAGTACAAAAAAATTATCTACAGCATGATGTCCAGGAATGAGGTATTACCAAGCTAAAACTAATTTGGCAGGTGATCATGAYGGCATGACCAGTGACTTACTGGATATTATTTTAAGCCCTGGATGCCACATTTTAAAAAATCCTTCAACAAAGTTATTAATAATTCATGAGGAAAATACAATAGAAATCATGGCCATGAAGAGTTTTATGATTCTGATATAAAATCATGTTCATTTGCATCAACTTTAACTAGTGTATTATCTTGGGCAGATTCACTTTTATCTTAAAAATTTTGAATCAAATACAAAAGAACTAAGCTAGACGTTTGTTAAGTAACGTACAACATGTTGGAATCCCATGTGTGACTGGGTTGTATACACATTGTATACAACACAGCCAGTCCTATACACCTACTTGCAAGAACGTTGTCATACGAAAATAGAACATTAGTGATTTAGTGGGATAGGAATTATATTAAAAAAAAAAGAAGATCACTGAAGCTGAACTTTTTCTTTTGTCTTTTAATGTATTCCTTTCTCACTAAATTACTAATGTTCTAATATCGTATGACAACGTTCTTGCAAGTAGATGTGTATCACTTGTGAAATACCTTGTATCTGTCGGTAAATAAGTTCCTTTCCTCTTCTGTGAGGACCACCAATTTTTTTTGTAGGATTTCATGCTGTTGGTTTACGGATGCACCTAGATCAGACAAAAGTATTAAGCATTACAACATTACACTTTGAGGCTGACTTTTAGTAGCAGTGTTTTTCTAGGGGGGGTAAGGCCAAGAGGATAGTACACCAAAACTTCCCAAAGAGAAAAACAAAGAAATAGAAAAAGGCAAATGCAACCACATGCTTCTAATAACACTTAAACGCAAGTTATTTTGGGCAAAGATTAATAACAGTTTTTTAATAACTGGYAACTCATTGTACCTTATGGTGTCAGTAGCTAATTTTTTGTACCCCTCTGCCGCTGAAAATGCAAGGGTTCTTTATTAAAAAACGTTTACTTACCTTCTAACTGCCTACAGAGTTGATGAAGGTGGTGAAGAGGACACATCTCACATACATTTGTCRTGCCTGTCGATTGCCATGCTGCATGGAAAGCTTGTTTTAATGATCTCATCACCCTGTCAACCTGTGARATACATACTGGTTATACAATGGTCTTGAGTGATATATTTTTAGCACAATTTTGGGTTAAGTAATTCACTTTTTTAATTTTGATAAACACAAGTTTTTAGTATTACCAGATTTTCTGAATCTCCTTTAAAGACATAACACATGTACGTGGACTGTCGTTGTTCTCTACAGATGAAACCAAAGTGTTCTGGGTTCTTTGACCCCTACAGAAAAAAACACACATTATCTTAAAGCATATTTCACAGGATGATTAGAAAGTGATGATGACGTTTGATGGATTATAATGTATTATAGTGCCCTTTCAAAATGGAATGATATAATACAGCGTTTTCACTCACGTGAGAAGGCAGCCATAAACAATAGAAATTTTCAAGAAGTGTTCAATTCCCGGAGGATTGAAAATATGTTGTTTTGGTCCCCATAGTGGCCACTGTGACGTCATGTGAAAATGCTCTATCAAAGGCATTGTCTATTGAGTTGTGAATTCCAGATTACTTTTAATGCAATTTATAAACATGAGACTGATGGTTAGTATAAGTTGTAGGCATTGCAAGGGTGTCTTTACCATCTCTGGGGTTATGTTACTTCCCTTTAATATTGGATAGTAATGATGAAGTATGGAGAGATGRGACCACCATTTAAAATTGCTTGTCTGAGCCAGGACATAGTTGTCTATCCTGTGCTAAATAGACCAGAAACAACTATACTTTACCATAATGTCCTGTTCATCGTTAAACCCTCCACCCCCCCCCCCTCCCCAAGAGTTTTCGACAAACATCAAGGCAAACTAATCAAGGTGGCAATATTCTAATGATTATTAATTAACTATTAATTAAAGACTAACCTGTTGGCAGAATGATATTTCTCGTAGCAATTTGTCCATTAGACAGGCATTACTTATTGAGCTTATCACCATCACGTTTACTGCACTAATCTGTATGACCACATTTCTGTTCTCAGAATTGGCCCCAAAGCTAGCAGATCGTGCATGTGTTTGACGCGAGGTGTGATCACTATCAGCACGACCCTTAGTTGCTCCTGGTTTAAAATGATTTTTGTCGCCATCACTTGCCGATCTTGGTCGGAYGTCGCCATTGCTGGCAGGTGTAGAATCCTCTAGTTTGGGCAGCGATTCAGGGTTACATTCTCCAATGATTGCATCGCCTTCTAAGCTTGCAGCTTTCTTTGCTCTTTGGTGGATAGAGTTTTTGTGTAGTTCAGGAGGGGACTGTCTTTTAGTGATATTCACATTTGGTTGCCGAGAGACTATCTGGTGATTGTTTGATCCATGTAACTCATTCTCTAGTTGATTTCGGCGGTTGAGATCCTTGAACCGTTGAACTGAATCATCAATCAAAGTAGGCGGGGCCTGACGATGTGAAACACTGACCCTTCCTACATATGTCAATTGGTAGCTTACCATCACTCTTTGTTGCACGCCATCAATGCTGTTAGATATAGTATTAGTTGATTCAAAACTTGATACTTTTCTTTTGGGTTTTCCATCTGCTTGGTCACAGCCTACCTTTACTGTTTGTTTGATTTGATGGATGAATCCAGGGACCTGGGGGGGAAATAACATTAGAATGTTATGCTCATGTCTGAACTAAGCCAGTGGGGGGGNGGGGAGTGGGGATGCCAGTGAAGGGGGTGGGGGGCTGAAGGGCTATGTTTTGCAGTTGGCATTTTACTTTGCAATTTAAATTTAAAAAATTAGCAAAAAGTAATATTTTTTAGAAAAAGTATCAGCTACTAAAATATACCTAAATTTGACTCACATCAGAAACAACATCAAAAACCATTTTTTTATCATTCTAGGGAGAAATAATTGCAATTATATACTATTAAACTCATCAGCATGGATGAATTGGAGGGAGGTGCCTAAAAAGCTGCGGCAGGTCGTGCTACTGCTCACTGCCGAAGTAACCCTGGCCACTCAACTCTGTCCACCTTCAGACGCCTATGGCAATCGAGCACAACGTTTTGATCCACGATGATCAACAAACGTAGCATGCTACATGCAATGAAGTCCCTGAAGGCGCCCCGCAGCAACCGAAGACYGCTGGCCAGCGTGCCTTGACTTTAACTTTGCCTAAATTTCCTTTAGCCCCATGTAAACATTTCTTTACATTTTATATTTTTAAAACTCTTGTTGAGCCTAACGCATGCCAATGATGGCACAAAGATGAAAAGTACAAAATTAATTGTGCAATGATTTAGAAAATGCTACGAGTCTGTAATTGTATCTTAAATTTGAATACTATGTATGGTACGGTTTCTGTGGTACTATTTAAAATGATTATTTAATTTTGTTAATGTTTAGATACTAAAATTCTAGATAAATTCTAGCCCAGAGCTAAAATCACTTTTGATTTCTATGTGCAAAAAAGCTGAAGATAAAAGAAAGGAAAAAGTGAATGAGTTTTTTTTTTCATTCTTCCACTTTCATTCTCTTTTTCATGTGGCGTTATCAGAAAATCAAAATCTAAACTATACATTCGTATAAAGTAAAAATTATATAAATAAAATAAACCAGTGATATAAATCACCTAGGAAAAATGTTTGACAGGTTCTGAACATACGAAGGTTGAATTTGTATCATACAATACTGTCATGTGTATCTGAATAACGATGAAAGTCAAAAATAATTTACCCTAGTTAAAAAAATTTGCCATGTTTACGATTTAATAAAAACATATTGAATATTCCATCACCCCAAGCCTTTATAACATTTCATATGCCTTGTTGATGCACCCACATGGAATACCAACATGGCTGCTCCATACATTTTTACCAAAAATTGCAACATGTTTGCTTGCACATAACTCCACAACAGAATGCTCTACAGCCTTGAATCTTTACCAGTACATGTAGTTGAAAGATTATGAAACTTTTGTTTTATCATAATGCAAGATTAGGTTTTGCAAATTTGTAGGTGAAATGATGTAGGTGAAAACCAAGTGGTTACTAGCTCCAAAAAAAAACTAGAAAGAGTGCTGTACTAAAAATGTTTTTTTCTGAATGAAGATTTTGAATATAATTTATTTTAAAAAAAGAAAAAATCCTCAAGAAAAAATGATGACACAGATGGACAAATAAAGAATCGATTAACATAGTTGCATCACTAGATTTTTAAACGTCCTTTTATAGCACTTACATGATGCAACAACCCCTAGAAATTTCAAGGAAAGGAAAGTTGAGAATAACAAAGGAATAATTTCCTTAATATTGTTGCTTTAATGAGTGCTTCCCTGGGGAAATTTTTAAATAAATAGAAACAAAAAGCTTGGAAACCATGGCACGATATGTAGACAGAGGTGCTTTTTGGCTTTTTCCTGTGCTTCAAGGGTTTTTCTCCAGGCACTGCAGTTTCCTTCCCTTCAAACTTCTAAATATTAATTCATTCATATGGTATTTTACTGGCTTGACCAGAATCATCTCTAGTATAGACATTGTAAATAAAGACGAAATTCAAGATATTCTTACTGGATTTTCCAAGATTTTTTTACAAATTTTTTTTACTAATTCTCGGTAACATTTCGGATAATATTTTCCGTTAATATTTTCCAAGATCATATTTTCATATTTTACATTCATTTACACAAAATATCAATACTATATCACTAATAAGTTAATTCTAAAGTATAATTTAGTTTCAAAGAATTTACATTGGAAAGCTCTTATATAACATATTTCACAATCATCTCAATGTGCTTCTCTTTTAATTAGTCATGCTTTGCTTTCCATTCCTCACTTATTGTTTTTTTGATCCTTTTGTTTCCTTTTATTTCTTCTAATGCTGATTTCTTGTTGGTCACTTTATTTTCCACCTTAGTATTTATTCACCTTTTCTCATCTTTTCTTTCCTCTTACTCCGATGAAGGACTAACGTCCGAAGCGTCAGTTCAACAAAGCTTCTTACGGTGATTCRATTTATCCATAAGTTCCTATCGTTTTATTCAGAAACACTGACACAGTCTACACTAGTCCTCTACTAGTTATCATCCACTCAATGTGCATTACATTTGTGACTAGTGGAGGACTTTATGGAAAGTATATTAGAGCACTGTTAGTGACCGTGCAGTCTCATGCTTCAAAACTGGTATACGATGTTGAACCAGGAGACAATCCCCCACTTTTACACAAAAAATTCAACAGGTTCATTTATGTCCTCCATTTACAGGTTAAAAAAGAGTTGAAGACGAGACCTAAATTTTAAGTCATTATCCTTGAAGACTTGAAGGCTTAACCATTTGCAGATATTATTACCTAAAGGCTGCACCTTCTTCTTGGTTATTTTAAGACCCTGAGTGTTTGTCATGGCAGGACTTGAACCACAACCTCCCACACAACAGACTGATGCTCTGCCAAATAAGCAAACTGGGCGGATGTGTATACTATATATTAGACTATATATTAGACTATGTTTCTTCTCTATAACTTAATATCTTTTGTACATAAATGCATTCATATTGTATAAATGATCCATAATTTATTTGTTCAATAAAGATCTATTAGTACTATTTTCGTTATTTTTCAAATGTCAATATCGTTAATGGTCCTGACTCTGATTTTCTTCCAGTATTTTGGTCAAACTACAAAAAGTATTTCTTCTTTCTTCTTTAATACAATTTTTAGATTCTATAGCTGGGGAAAAAACAATTATCTTTGTAAACAGGAACTTTCAGAACTAAAAGATAAAAAATACTCTAGCATTCTAAAAATATGTTGATCAAATTAATATTCCTAAGATATTGCTAGGTGTTTACTTAGGTCTGTTATGGTTAAAATCACGTCTTGATTTTAGTCAATCCAAATTTTGACCAAATCAGGGTGATATCAGATTAACTGACAATAAACTATAATATATAAATAGAAAGAGTTTTAAACTAAACTAAACTCAATAAATCAGAACTGTATATCAACGTAACATTTCAGTTTCAACATGACAATTTTTTAAAAAATGATTCAAATGTTTGAAACTAATAAATTTTACGGAAATATTTATCTTTTTATTACATGTAGTTCTGAATAAATAATGAAAATGTGAACCATTTTTCTATCTCCTTAAACATTTATTAAATCGTTGAAAAACAATTCCATAGATGTATTTGTAAATTAAACATGTCGACTTCTAGGATGAGTTCAAGTGAAATGACCTTTTACTATCAACGAATTATTTTCAAGAGAACTGAAGCTATCCTGTTAAAAATGATGACTTCAAAAACTATTTTTGGAGCTGATTAATAACTAGAATAAAGAGAGACACAATTGAGATTCAAAATCTTCAAAACAACATGAATCTAAACAAACTAGGTGTTATCTTTGATCTACTAAAAACAAATCCTCTTAAAAGGAAAATGCTTTTAAATTTAAATTTAGTTTAGACCATTAAAGAATACATTGTGGGGCAAATCTTCCTTACACATTTGGTGAAGTTTTTTTAGCTACTAAGAATTAGTGAGAAGACAGAATAATTCCTTCCTTTGCAGCTAGATTATTAGCATTAACTCTACCTACAACCAAATTGTACAAATTAAGCCTCATTTACCAGTAAAAGGTATTACCAAAACACTAAAAAACTATATCTCAAGATAGATTGCCAATAATTCCAGATACTACTAAAGTATAGTTTTATACATATATATATTGATAATCACAAGATAGACAATAATATCTTAAAAAGACATGGTTGGAAAGCCAGCACAGCCTTGCGGTTATTGTCAATACATATATTGTTCACTGCTGGAAAACCTATCCTATTCAAAGCCACCATATGCTTTATGATTTGGAATACATTAATCTAAGCAGCAACATAAAGATATAAATTGTAGTAGCAAAATACTACAATAATTGCACCTTTAGTGTGAACATCATTCCATGGATTTGGCTTCAAAGATTTGACTTCAATAATGATGGGGTAAAAACAAAAGATGTACACTTAAAGTCAAATCAAATGTGTTTTGCAAACAAACGTTCATAAAGACCCCTTATTTGCATGTGCTTTTGTCCAGGAAGGAAGGTCTTGTTTCTCTAAGACAAAAGAAATGCTGTTCCTGTAAAATATCAGCATTGAGATGTCAAATTGTTGACTATATAACTTTGTTCAATTAAAACATAAAATCAAGAATGAAAACCAAGATCTTTTGACCTTCTTATGAACTAAGAATGGTTGACAAACACTGAATCTTCTTATATAATATCCTTTGATTCAAATACTTCAGAAGCCTCATAAATTTCCTCATTATCCAAATCAATCGGTTTAATTCATATAAGCTTAACTTGCCAACAAAGATATATTATTCGCAATAAAAAAAAAAGAATTTTAAACAGTGAAACTTACTCGTGAAGTGATATTTTCTAGAGTATTTTGATGATGTTTACATGTGGGAAACCAACCAGTTAGTTTCACACTTGGAATATAAAAACCCCCCAATATTGGTCCTCCAATGCTATAGGGATTTACAAAATGTGGGCAAAATTTATAAGATCATCGTGAACATGAATTCTCATTTTCGGAGTCTAGGACAAAAATTAGTTTAGCTGAGGTATAAAATTGGGAGATTTAGAAGAATCGTCGTTAAATAGACACGAGATATTTTGGTACTGGTAAACCTAACAAATTTAATATAATGGACCGATGGCCTTGTCCTTTGACAAGCCGAAAGCCCCATAAAGATCTCAACAAAACACAAGAACACTGTCCTTTTGCATCTTCTGTCAATTTACAGCTCAAAGTAAACCCYCTAAACATTTAAATACCGCTAAAAAAAGCTGAGAGAGTCCTTTATCTGCAAGAGAAATTCCTAGCTTTGCAGATGAAACCATCCTTCCGATCCTTAGATCTCCAGATTTAAAGAAGTCTGCTGAGTTATTTTTACTTAATAGTTTAAACTACACTTCTACTAGCAAAGGGCCAGRAAAAAACGTGCAAAGAGATCTTATTGATCAGCTGCTACATATGAAAGTCAAACATTTTTTGCATGTAAATAATCGCATTAATTTTGTGTGGCAGAGAAAAAAAAAAAGTTTTGGAACGACAGAATATAGCAGCTAACCAGTATGATAAAGAGAAAGATGTTATGAACAATCTTTTCTGGTGAAAATTAAGTTACGATTTTTAAATGAGACCCGTAGGGGTCAAGACAGAGCAGAACGTGCAGTGAGAGAAAGAAAAAAAAATTGTCAACATGCAAAACAGTGGTCAAGAAAAACAACGAAAATTAAAACAATATATTTGTGAAGATAGCTCAAAATCTTACCGAGAGGGTGTCCACGGATTCAAAGACGAAGCAGTGGCAAGAGGTAGTGCTGTCGTTGGACTTTACCAAGTAGGCGAAGCACTTTTTGTCTGTCGAACGAGCACAGCGAGTAATAGATTGTACACGATGTTCAAAAGTCGTCGCACCATCCGCCACATTCAGCGCTTTTACCGTCGACTCCTCGACACACAGATAAACATTCTGTCTTTCGCGCTTTCTCCTAACCTCAGAAATAATCCATGGCAGCATAGACTGTGTGTATCGTCTATCAAGTTCGGCGACCCCGAGGTAGACGAACTGAAACTTTTGAGCAGCTTCGCCATTTTGAAGTTGAGAACCTTCTTGTAGCTCAGCAGGTTCAGGGGTTTCAACACTGGTGGTCATGCCTTTCCCCTGGCACGRCTCGTCCTCGAAGCTTCCCACTCCACTGTCAGTAGACTCGCATATTGTGTTTGAATTGCTGCTAGGTGGATTATTTTTGAGCCATGTTTTCTTGTACCTCTGCACTTCCATCACACATAGCACACGAGGTGACGAGGGCTGCCTCGCTATCATGTCCCTAGATCACCTCTCTTTTGTCCAGAAATCACTTTTCTTAAATAAAACAAAAAAACTTGTTCGAGCTTGCCCAAGCTTTTTTAAGCTCGTAATAGAATTGTCAGAGGAGGGATTTCCCCAAGATTTTGTTAATTTTCCCCTTTTTATTAATTTCATTTTCGCTTTTTTTWAACTGTAATTCAAGTAATCTTCTTTATAAGAGTGTGACGTCATTTTGACGCAGTTCACTCTTCTCATATTTGATCTTATTTTTTTCTGCTGTGCTGTTTTATATGTACGAAAATAACTCCCCAAAAATAGCTTTGACGAATCTTCAAAGCAGGTTCAGAATACATAGTTTTGATTGTATTTCCCCTGTATTATAGATATTTCTAAAACGGCGATTTACGGCATTCTGGATACTCTCCAACGCAGCCGCTATTCACTACGGGCATAGGCCAAAAAACATTATTTTAAAAAACATCATTTCATAGCCATTTCTTAGAAAAAGCAACGGATTTCGTGTTTATTGACYTGATTCTTGGATTAGTTTTGATTTCAGTCAAGGTCAAACCCGATGTGTAACGCAAGTGCTTCATGGATAATTTTGAATGACACATACATGCATATAGAAACACGTAGCGATGAAAAAAGGTTGCTCTGGTTCCTTGGACAAGCCTTTCGCATCGCACTTGAGTTTCTTGATAGAAAAAATATTGTCATGCCATGGTTTCATATTAGTATCCTCTACTAAATCAGCGCTGTATTCAAGGCTTAATTTTATTTGTTTTATGGCACAAGGCCATCAGCAGGAATTAATTTTATAAGAAGCACAAAAACTGAACCTTCTCTTTGTCGTCCATCTAGGAGGTGCCCCCCTGCATTGAGGTTTTATCATAACGTTTGACAGTGAATTCAAATAAGATTTTTTGACTCTTAATTGTATGGTTTTGCTTTCGTTTAACTCAAAGTTTTGATCGACTTTCAAAAAATAAAAATTWAAAAAAAAATTTTGGTGAGAAAAGGATTACTTTTTCGGTCAGTCTAAGAATAATTTAGTCACGTGATTAAAAATTCTAGAACTACACACGGCTTAACGTGTACGACTCAAAAGCGATATAAATATTAATTCTAACATGCAAAGTAAAATAATAAGGCGTTTTCTTAATTTCCCATTCACTTTGCATTGAGAACAAGGTAGTTTAACTATAGGTTAACAATGGGAAGAAAATAGGCTAGTTACTGAACTAGATCAAGAAAAACTATGAATTAAACTAAGAGTTATTCTTTGATTTCTACTGTTTTCTAAAAAAAAAAAAAAAAAAAAAAAAAAAAAAAATTCTGAACTTAGGGGCCCACCCCTGGCTCCATTTTTTAAAATGTTATTTAAAAATATTTTTTTATAATAAAAAGATTGATTAAGTTTCGTACCACACCTTCCCTCTAAAATCTCCCCCAGTAACCCCATCATTTCTGTTCACTCAAATACAACAAAGGAATCGACTACCGATACCCTTGACCTTCTTAGAGGCTAGCTCGCTAATGGATAGTTGTTATGATTGTGGTACACGGTGTACGTGACTTTGATTTTTGCATGAAACATGGCCCAGGGTCGTCTCATAGGTGATAAGCGTTGTGACGCTGAACGCGCGCATTGAGCAGTTGTAAACACGAGGATATTGTTACATAACAGGATCGCGAGTCGGCTGAATAAACATTAGAAGTGAAGCGCGTGGACAACAGGATTTAGTTGGTTGGTTTAGTTGGCATCAAGACTGTCTTGACTGCTGTAAGATGTACATAGCGAGATTAAAGCACCATTAATTGTGAGAAAATCTAATTAAATTCRGCGATTTTACAGTAGAATCTATATAAGTAATTTGATCCGTCGTCTGGGCAGACGAAGCCTTATTTAAGTGGCGTCACATGGTCTTTTTAAATGTGATTGTTTTCTTCAATATTGAAGTCTTTCAAAGCATACTGTATCTATTTTCTCGTAAGAGTGGTCAATATCAACGCGATCTGTTACAAACAACCTCTCGCGCGTGACTGTTGAAAAAAGAGTTGAACTTCTTGCTTCTGATCTGATGAAAAATACTTGCTTTCTTGGTTGATGCCCATTTTTGATACAATAAACTCAATGATGGATTTGCCCACTTTCGCCCTCTTGGCAATTATTTTTCCTTTTCCTTTCCTTTTATCTTTTCTTATGTTCCCATCATTGTTCCACTGAAACGACCCCATGGACTTCCGTTCGCCTACGGGTCTAGACCTCTTTATTGGCAAGGGGCGCAATGTTTTACCATTTCAGACCGCGCGTCGTTCTCTTGAGAGTAAGATTCATTGTTCATGTAAAAAAATATATGCGTGTATCCATATCCATGTGTCTTTTCTTCGTAAACAATTGTTAAACAAAGAAATGATAATTTATGAGGAAATAACACGTGGTCTGAAATGGGAAAACTGTGATTACGCCCATGCCAGGTAAAAGAGGTCTGTTACGACAAGTAAAATTGTCCTTTAGTTTTTATAGTGCCTTTAGCTTCAGTTTCAGCCCGTGCCAGGCAGGGCCGGAATGACGGTTAAAGCCAAGTCCGAGGGGCAGGAGAAAAGCAATTTTTGAGTACGGAAAGGGCCGTTGTAAGGAGTTTCAGAAACCATATGACGTTAGCCGGCCACTGTGTCGTATCCTGCCCGTGAGACTGCGCGCGTCAACTCCAAGAATTATATTAATCTAGCGGATTTCAGCTTTTTCGTTAAAACTTGATCAGTCACCTTTCCTTTTTCTTTTCTTTTTCCTTCCGTCCTCTTTTCTCTCATTTCCTTTCGTCCTCTCGGATTTCCCTTTTTGTTTTTGCATTGGCATTGCTTAAAATAAATGTCTTTAGTTTTACCCTTTTGAGCGGCCCGTTATTTTTTTAGTTTATTTTTTAAGTTTCGAGTGAAAAACGTGCTTTAGGGA